AACAGTAGATGCAGCTTTCCCTTGGTAGAGGATGAGTCACCGGGTAATGCAACTTTCCCTTTAGTAGCGGATGAGTCCTCGGGTAATACTCGGGTGAGATAACCACCTGTGAGGTTGGCGGTATAGTTAACCCTCAAATGAACCTGCCCTTGGCGCACTGGCCTGCTGTAAGCCTGATAACTTGGCCACGATTTGATCGACCAAGGACTCCTGGTTTTTCTTGATGGATTCTAGGGTACTTTGATTGTTCTGGGCCATCTTATCTTCCAGTTCTTTTGCAATCTTGACATGTTCTCCTCGAGTTTTCCATTCTGGCCTCCATCTGTCTCTTTTTGTTCGAGTATTGTGCGGATGATGTGTGTCTTGAGCTCTTGGTATTTGTTCTTTCTGAGACATGTTCTGTTAGTTAATACGAATGTAAAAACATGGAAAATATAAAAAATAAACTGAAATATAAAATGCACAGTATGCAATGCATGATGTATGCAATTTAGAGGCATTGATCCAGAAAAGTGTGTTATTATAAATAATCCTTATTTAAACAAAAGCGTTTTTTCTTATAAGAGACATAAAAACAATCAAAGGTATCCGGACTAAATCCTCCAGACCCCGAACATCTTCTAAAAGATTGACAAGTCTTCTTCCTTCATCTGTTACTGGTTGAATGTTCTGTCGAACCACTCCGGCTTCCCTTGCCAAGCCATGTAGATGACAGGCTGCCTTCTGTACTTGATCCAGGAAATCTCGGATGACTACGTCTCTAGCCTTCACCCTTTGCTGAGCTTGCTCCCAACGGAAACGCCACTGTAAACCTCCGTCGAAAGGCACTATCTGAAGTTCGCTTGCTTGCTTCTTGAGTTCATCAAGAATGGCTTCTAACTCAGCTATTGTTTTGCCATCTTTCTCATGTTGTTTCTCCAGATCAGCCACCTGGATTCTCAAGCATTGGTTATGATGTTGACTACCTGCTAAGCGCCTCTGAGTAGTCTTCAGCTGCTCATCATACCCTCAAACTTCCTTTTTAGGATATGAGCTTCATCTTTCCAGTATTCAGAAGTTCTTTTCAAATTGGAGTTATCCTTGACTTTATCTTGATACCCCTTCTCAAGTCTTCAAGCTCGAAATGGATTTTCTTCTGTTCTTTCCCCAGTTTGTCTGCTCGATCTTTCTGAGTATCGGCGTCTAACTTCCATGGTATCGTTCAACTTCAAGTTCCCTTACCTTCTGCTTCAGCATTATTCACAGCTTCAAACTCGGTCTTGGCTATCTCCAGTTCGGAAGGGACATACCTGAGATGTTCCTCCATGGTCCGGGTGTCTTCACAGTCTGGCACCGGGATGTTGTCATTTTTTCTCAATCTTCTCCATTCTACATAATCCGGAGTAAGCATGTCTCTTGCAGCTACAATATCCATTCGGAACAATTTTTTTCCATGAGTCAGCTACTTCTTTGATCATCTTTTTATAGTTATCACCGTGGTACACAAACTCTGATATAGATAATCCGTATGTGGCCGGGATGAACTGACGTGCCCCATATTGTCTAAGTGCTAACGACGGAGCATACCCAACTGCGCCCCAAAGTCCAAGTAAGGTCATAGTATCAGAATCCCCACACCGGTAAAGAATGTCACTGAGGAATAACCAGGGGGCTCTCCAGGTAATATCTCGGTCCTGAAGATGAGTGAATACCTTCATCCACTTTTCCTTGGTAGCACCTTCATGCCATTTTATAGTGATGAACTCTCCCAAAGGTGAATAGGTGGTGCTAAATCGGCGGTAGGCGACCCCGTTAGTCTTCCAGAAATGGCTGTGAATCCAAACTTGAAGAAGCTGAACACACCCAATGAACCTTCCTCCACCAATTCTTCTGCAATGATTAAGAGACCGAAAGGTCTCAGCCAAAATGGTCGGTGCTGGGTTGACTCGCCTTGGAAGTTGTTTAAATAGTTCTACAACGGTTGCGTCAATGCACCCAAGGATCTTTGGAAATATAATCAAACCATACAGACCCAGTGCAAAAAGGTCTATAGTCTTCCATTCATCAGGGTGGTTCTTCATTAGTTGCTTTATGTGGATCCACTCGATTCCTTCCCCATTACCTTTGTGTCGGAGTCGATCAGTTACCCATTTTTCATCAACCCCTGCAATCTTAGCCAGTCCGTTCTTGAAAGGTTGACTCTTGATGTGTTTGATATATACCCTCTCTAGTCTGATACTTTCACAGTGCAGTAGGGTAGTATACTCTTCGATGGTGGGCACCATATCCTCCCGGTTAAAGGTGAAACAACTATATCCTGGGTTCCAGAATTGAATCAATGCTCGGAGCAGGGCTCATCAGTCTTGACATGTAGTAAGAGGGCAATATCACCATATCGTTGGCTAAACTTCTGCTTTCTGTCATTCTTCCAACTATCCCAAATGTTCCGCAGCTCTTGGACATTATTCTGTTTCAGGCTGACAGATGCGTAGCTAACCAGCTCTGACACATAGTTACTCTGAAGACTATCTCCCTTCTCTTTCTGCGTCTTCTCGGACCATAGTCGTGCCTCGGCGTTTTTAATCTTGTATTACAACACCTTTGTCCATTAATTCAGATTATTTCGTGTGTAACAAACTATTTTTAGGGATCAATAGCCTCTTGTTATGATGCAAATGCTAGAAAACAAACACAAAGGCAAAAAAGTTAGTAAAAAAATAAACAAATAAAAAAAATAACGAAAGAAAAAAAAAATACAAAAACATGGTTAGGGTAAAAAATATCCTAGGTTTTGGAATTTGGTTTCGGGGTAGGCTCTAATTCTCCATGGTCTCTCGGTTTAAGTTCTAAAATGGTACCCGAGTTCTCCTGCTGGTGCCCCTTGGGCTTACCAGACCCTTAGTCCTAAACCCATCACAGGTTTGTATGGACCAAGTTAAACTCGAGAGGACACATTCCCTTATGCCCGCACGGTGAATAAATTCACACGAAGACATAAGGTATATGAATCCCGAAGGTTACTTGCTAGGCCCGCACGGAGAATAAATTCTCACGAAGGCGTCGCTTTCACCCCCACTTAAATAGGGTTCGGAGCTCGGGTATAGAGCATGAGATGACAATTTGAAAAATCTGAAAACATTAAAAACGTTAGTACAACTATTTATTTGAAAAATATTCAAAGATAAATAATTGGAATCGAATAAATAAATTAAAATTTAAATTTACCATTTTCGCATAAAAAGACAACCGAAAATTAATTATGGCCTGACTCACTTATTGTCCCCAGCGGAGTCGCCAAGCTGTCTCGACCGCCTTTCGGGTTGGGCCCGGAATTCGGCTTCGACTTGAAATAAAATATGTTGGAGTCGCCACCGATCATTTATTTTTCATAAAAAATTGGTTGATCGAATACCATCTTACTTTATCTGCGTTTTACCAGAAATATGTCGGGTTCGGGAGTCGGTTACAGTCAAGGAAGGATTAACACCCTTGAACTGCCCTTTCGGTACCATTTAATTTACCGGTTGTCTTAATTACGAAAATTGAAATTTAAATTACAATTTGGATATTCGATTCAAATTACTTACCTTTGATTGGTTAAAATTATCCTAAAAAAATCATAAATAAAGTTAAAAAATAAAACACACAAAAACAAAGAGTTAGTATTAAAATCTAAATAAAAAATAAATAAAAGAAAATTTGAATTTTAAAAAAAAAAATAAATTGGAAAGGATTAAAATTCATGGATCAAATTAATTCTAGAAATGAACTGCAAGAGAAAAACATAAATTTAAGGGATTAAATAAAAAAAAAATTTAAAGTACCAAAATAATACAAACAAAAATTTAAAGAATAAAAATAGTATTAACAGAAAGTAAAAGAATAATAACTAAATTCAAATAAAAACATAGCAATTGAATGATTAAATTAAAACTAAGTAAAATGTAAAGTTCAAAATAAAAACAAATGCACATAATGATCATAATACTAAACCATGGCTAGACTAGGGGGACTTAAGGTGATTTGATCATAAATCTAATAACTTAAATGTAACACATGAAAAAAAGGATCTAAATAAGATTAAACTAAAATCAGTTACTAAAACGCAAAAAGCTATGAAATAAGGAGGGGTTAATGTGTGGTTTTACCAAAATTAAAATAAAATCAAACTTTTCCTTGTTAAATTCCAGAACACTATGAACCAAAACTAAAATCCCCCATTTTTTCAATTTTCATTTTCATTCTGCGCGATGGAACCCTAAAATTTTATACCTTTTCTCTGGTTCCCTTCGCTTATTACTCCCACGACAACAACTCACCAACAAGCCGGAACAGCCTTCATCGCCTCCACCGAGAACCAAACATCGGACCACCCCACACGGTGGTCCTTCAACCACAAATCAACACCCAACGATAGAAAGGTATTTCCTCTATCTTATGTTATTATTATGTTTAGTTACTATGGAATTAGCATAAAACGTAGAACTAACAATACCAATTAAATTCTTTCCTTTATCGTAACCTGAGAACTGAATAAATAAATCGAAGAAAACTAGAATACCTCTTTGCTCTGTATTTTTTATTGCTGAAAAAAACGTTTATTCCTGTGAAAATTTTCTGTCTATTATCACTGAGCGTTTTTCTTCATTTTTTTTTTCAAAATCCCCTTCTAAAAAACAAGAGTAATCTCTTTTACAATTCTTCCTCCTTCCTTTTCTTCCATTTCAATCGGCTATTTATAGCCATTTTCTTACATAGCTTTTACATAAAAAATAACAATTTGCAATCTGATCATACTTTAGATCAGATATCACATGCGTCTGTAGGATTGGTAGGAAACAAGCATTAACGCTCTGGGGTAGTGATGGCAGCAAGTTGCTTAGAGAAGGGCCAGGGCGAAATGAAGTGTCTACAGTATGAATAACGGGAAATTCATAAAATTTGAAATTAAAGTAAATACAAGTGAAGACATTAAACCTTATTTTTATTCGTTGAAACATGAAAGGCAATAATGGACAATAATGCAGGGTATAAAGAACAAGCAGGTTTTAGATTTTGGCAGCTAGTAGTAGAAATCATGATGCATAAAGATGGGGGTGTAGATGATGACGTTACACACCGTATAAAGGCGGGATGGCTAAAGTGGAGGGCTGCTACTGGAGTTTTGTGTGACAGAAGGTGCCTCTAAAACTTAAGGGAAAATTTTATAGAATGGCAATAAGACCAGCGCTGTTGTATGGATCAGAATGTTGGGCACCCAAGAAGGATCACGTAAGGAGGATAGAGGCCGCAGAAATGAGAATGCTTCGATGGACATGTGGTAGGACTCTGTGGGATATGACGACAAACTCTGCTATTAGGATGTCCTTAGGGGTGATGGCTGTTTCCGAAAAAATGAGGGAGGGAAGACTACGGTGGTTTGGGCACGTCCTTAGGCGACTACCGTCGGATGCGGTCAGGAGGGTAGAGTCGATTACAGTCGACGGTGCCAGAAGGAAAGGACGACCAAGGCGGAAGTGGGATGACTGCTTGAGATCTGATTTGAGGGATTTAGGCCTTACCGAAGACATGACCTATGATAGGAAATTATGGAGGCTTAAGACTAGGGTAGTCGAGTAGTGTGAGTCACATCTATAGGGTGTATCATCTTTATCTTTTAAATGCATTTGTAGTTATTTCCTTGACTTTTACTTTTTATACTTTTCTGTTATTGGTATTTATGAAAGATTAGAACTGGGCTTGCTATCGTTGTCTCATGTGTATCATTCTCATCATGTTTCCTCTGTTAATTTAGCCGGGTCTTAGGTTTCTGTCTATATGCTGAGACTCTTTCGCAGGGATTATTTTGCAGGGATTACTCCCCATTACAGAAGCACATATGATATTAATGACTGCATATGAAGATTGTTTAGCTATGTATTTATGTAATTATTTATACATGCATTGCATTTTATCTATATTTTAATTTTCTGACTGCCGGAGGTATTTCACGGAAGCTATTCTCAACCTGGCGTGGGGGCAGCCTACTACCCTACCTCCCCCTTACTCCATACATATGAGAATTGGATTTTGTTGTTGTTGTTGTTGTTGTATGAATTTGAATTACTGTGTTTTACTAATTATTATGTATTTTTATAAAGTAAACAATAAAGTTAAAATAAGATTGTTTGTGCTTGTATAACCCAACCAACTACCACGTGGATCTCAATGGTTAGTTTTATTTATTAAATCTCTGTTTCTAATCATCGTTTCCGCCTTTCATTACAGTTTCTAGTTCCTCAATTCTCTCAATAGAACATGTCCTTTTGCATTTTATCCGAGTCTTTTAAGCCAAACAAACTCACGCATTTTTCTCTTCCTCTCTTTCGTTTCCGAGAATTCTAAGAACTTTCTCTTTCTATCCTATCCTCCATTTGTTTCTATTTTTTGTACACTTTTTCAAATTTTATTTTTGCATTACTAATCATAAACAACTGAGCTCTCTCTGATTTTCTTCTTCGTTCTTTCTTAGAAATTTTAATGCAATGCAAAGTGGCAACCGGAGGAAGCTGACGCTGTTTGAGCAGATGATGGCGGTCGATAACGGCAGGGATGCTCTGGCCGGTTTAACTCTCGAAACCATTTGGGAATCTCTAATCGGCCTGAACAACCGCCGGCAGCACAGAGCCGTACCCTTCTTGAGATTATACGAGACGATGAGTCTAACAGGGAAAAGAAGAGTTGGAAAACGTTACGGGACAAGCTCCGGCTCAAGCGACCGGTCTCTGTCTGGACCTCCTCGGACCATGTCCCTGCTTCTGATGTCATTGTCGATGGTAATAACAGATCCCAGCTCTCGCGGCACGGTTCCTTTCGTTCTCACTCGGCTGACCCGGCTCGTGTTGTGAACGGAGGTCAAAGCGCCGCGCGAAGTTATTCGGGTCAGGAACAACCGGTTCGGAACGATGTCGGCTTGTGGAGTAATGCTCCACCGTCGAGAAGCTTTAGGACGGAAATTACAGCGAGAAACGGCGCCGGGAGCAGCGAAGACGACTACTCTCCTATGGCGCGCAACGAGACGCGCCAACTCGGAACGGTATTAGCACTGGATAGGGCATTATCTGAGAGAGAATCAGCGGCGGAGGACCCTGTGAGGATGTCACTGATGGAGTTTTTGCAAGAAACAGATCTAATCGGACCGAGACACACGACGGTAAACGCCGGTGACGACGAAGAAAACGAGGAGAAAGAAACGGTGGCAGCGAGCGTAGGGATGCAGCACACGTGTTGCGTGTGCATGGTCAGGCATAGAGGTGCGGCGTTTATTCCATGCGGCCACACGTTTTGTCGGGTTTGTTCGAGGGAGCTTTGGGTTCAGCGAGGCGACTGCCCGCCATGCAGTGGCATAATCATGGAAATTCTTGACATCTTTTAAAAACAATAAAAAGAAAATAGTTATCATTATTATTTTTAAATACAAGTAACCTGAAATCATCTCATCTCTTATCTTTCTTCTTCTTCTTTTGCAATTATTGTATGGGCTTTTGGACAAATCTTTGGGATGGTAAACCGATGATGTTGCTTTTGATGATTTTGTCCAACACTTGTTATTGCCGCTGACAACATTTGTTACTTTCTCTGTCAATATCATGATTGATGTTTTGTTATCCCCATATCATGTCATATTATACATATTTGATATAATTACAATTCTACACACTTGATATCACAATGAACTAACCCATCAAATTTCATAATAATCTTAACCGAACTATCTGGCATACCCTATTCTTTATCTTCTACAAATAAGACCTCCCAAACTATTCAGGCTTTCATCGAGAGAGGACCATTCTCTAACGTTATACCTCAAAGAAAAGGCAATTAGAACTGCATTTATTCTCCTGCCTTGGATTTAAATGCTGCCCATTTTATTTTCGTTTCTTAAAATTTAAAGCGGGAACTTTGTATTTTGATTTTAAAATTTGATCCGTTAAGGATTAGTTTTTTTTATATTATTATATGCAGTTTATTTACTTAATCCGCATCTTTTAGACTTAAACTCTTGAGGTTAAGCCTTTAGAGAAAACCCCCGATAGGTCATGCTTGGGAGTTGCACGTAGACGGAACAAGAAAACGCAGTTAATACTTTAATTGGAGCAGGACCCAAAATAATCTCAAATTGAAAGTAGCTAAATAACCTTAAACATAGTGGAGTCGTTTACACGTCGGCGGAATAATGGATAGGGATGGGGTAAGTATAATTTTGTTGTCAGTATGTTGTGAAAGTGTAGACCTTCCTTTTTTTAAGGTAAAATGACATAAGAGGTCCCTATACTTTTGAGGGGGAATCAATTTGGCTCTTGCATTATTTTTTCTTTTAATATGACCCTGTAACTCAAAAAACAAACCCAATTGACCATTTAACTAGCATTTTCATCGTTGACCGTTACGGTACTGACGTGACGATTCACGATGTTGATATGGATATCCACAGTGCTGACGTGACGATCTACGGTATTAAAGTGACAGTCCATTTGTCATGTCATCTGCCACATCAACACTGTGGATCGTCACATCATCACATTGAGTTGCTACGTCAGAATCCTAACAGTTAAAGATAAAAAACGTTAGTCAAATAATCATATTTAATTTATTTTATGAGTTAAATAACTATATTAAGAGAAAAAAATGATACGAGGATGGCATATGCTTTTTGCCTTTATATATATATATATATTTGTTTAGAGCTGAATGACAAGTGATGAATCGGTCGGCCGAAAAGCAAAGCCCCTGTCGCCGGCTTTAGCTTCGGAGCTGTTCGAAAAAGCATGAGTTGTCGTTTGTTTTGCTGATTGGAATGTTACAAGTCTTTCAACAGTAGCAGTGCTCAACAAAATCCAAAAACTATTTAATTTTCAGACAAAAGAAAAGAGAGAGCAAGTTCGTAGTTTCTGAATGAGAAAAAAACTTACTGTCTTTTCCTACCCAATTGTTACAATACAGTGATTATAATACAAATCTTATTTGTTTCTCACTGTGACCCCTTGCACCTCATCTGATTGGTTGATTCGATCCGTCAAAATCCGACCTTAAAAAATTCGAGTAATTTTTTAAAAAGAATTACCTAATAAGACCTATCCAACCCGTAATATTTTTTCAGGTTATTGGGTCGGGTTTTGGTCAAAAGTTTTATAATCAGGTACCTGACCCGATCCAACCCGATAGTTTTAACATATATATAGTTTAAATTAGGGGTGTGTAAATCCGGGTATCCGATTTCCGGGTAACCGGAACTTCCGGGTCGATGATTTCTCGGCCCGTGTCCCGACCCGGATGTTACGGGTACCCGGTAATCGGGTACCCGGATTTTGCGGGTACTCGGTAATCATTATCCGATACCCGGTTTTTAATTTTTTATTTTCAAATTATTAATTTAAAAAAATATATACACAAATTTAAATGTTCGAAACTTCGAATTACATACTCTAATATCCGAACATAAAATTTAAAAGTTCAAAATACAAAATATAATAATCCATAATATAAATAATTCATTATATTTTATATAATTATATATAAAAAAAATAAAAAAAATAAAAACTAACCGGGTACCCGAGTACCCGGAAAAACTAGATTTTGTGACCCGGGCCCGACCCGGCCGGGTAATTTTTTTTTTAAAGAATTACCCGGTTTTTTAGATTCGGGTCGGCGGGTCGGGTCAACCGGGTCGGGTAATTTTGCACACCCCTAGTTTAAATTATACTTTTATTTTAGGTTCATTAATATTTTTTATCTTAAAATTACATTTATATCACTAAAATTTTCTTATACTTGTATTATGTACTTTTAAGTTTTAAAATTTTCAAACAAGTTTTTATTAATTTGTCAATATGTGATATGGAAAAAAAATCACGATCGATATTGATATTTTTAATGTTCTTTTGAAAATAAAATTTAATACATATCCAAATAATTATTTAAACTAACTTCAAATCACTAATTTTGTATGTGGATTGTTATTATGAACTTTTAAATTTTTTATTTATTTCTTATGTGATTTTTTTTTATTAAAAAAAGCATAATTTAACAAAATATAAAAAATATATGAACCAGGTAACCGTGACATGAAAATACAGGTACCCAGACTTAATGAGCCGGTTCATAGACCGACAAATATACTACTCGGTATTGTCATTCGCTAAACATTATTTCTAATATTATAAAATTCAAAAAAAATATTTTTTTTTTGTTTAATTCAATCAAATACTCCTCATAAACATTATAAGAGAGTGATTTGAGAACTTAAGACATTGGAATAACAAGAGATTTGTATATCAAAATACAAAAATAATAGTCAACCGGTTAAGATTTTAAATATTAAATGCTAGCGACCACATTAATAACTTGTTTGGGGCACAACTGCTCGACGGTTGAGAAACTGGGGCGTTAACTGTTAACTATATACATCATAATACAAGCAATTAAGTCACTGGTGTAATGACAAAAGGCTTGAATTGTCAACAAATCTCCGATTGGTACCTACTTTCAGGCTCAACCTTGAAGCCTGAACAACCCTCCCTCTATAGAAAGAAGAATACAATGCTCTTCACTGTTGGTGGGTTAAGTTCCGAGGACGACGGTCAGTGATCGATCAGAAAAAACTGCAATGTAATGTTCCGTTGAGTCCAACTAAAGTTAAGCAGACGTGCATTAGCAAAAGACGCGGGACAACATAAAACTCGACGCCAGTGACCATTTTATACATCGATATAATAGTGTCGTCATCGGACTTGAGAGAGAGAGAGAGAGAGAAGTGCAACCTTACATATCTTATGCTTCTACAATACATCTAGATATACTCTATGAATACACAAATTCTACTGGCGAAAGCATTGATCAAGTCTTTTCCGAAACCGAAAGAAAATAAGTCGATCTCGAACGTCATGTCATTTATAGCCTCAAAAAATAAAGCATATGCTAGACAAATACTACATCTTCATAATACTATTTGGAAACATAAAACACTTTGATGTGTTCTATGAATTCCAGGAGTACGATAAAAAAAATGCAGTATCGGCCTCCTTTACACTCGTCGGACCCTGGAATGATACAGGAACCAGGACTTAACAAAGGGAGAGGAAAGGGCTATGAAAGAAGGGGGCCAAAAAATTCATAATAACAATTATCTACTCAGCCTTTGGTTCTCATAATTGTGATGCTGCCTTTTCCACCTTCGGTGCGAATTTTAGTTTTGCCAACAACAGGCTTCCCGGAAAATGCAGAAGTAGGGAAAGCATCCGCAAGATCTTCATTGCTTTGGTTTGGTTTTGCTGGTGGCGGAGTTTGGATTCGCTGGTTTATATCCTTCAACGTAACATCTCCGTGGAAACCACAGGGTTTAATGAAAGCAAATGGGTATGCAACAGCTGATGCTACCTTGGGGGGCCTCCGAATGAAAGATTTCCGGCCTGAATCAAATCTGACGGTGTTAATCCAACTTCGAGGTAAAGTATTCGTTTAAATTGAAGGTAGGTCACTGAGTTCTGCTTAAAGAGGACATGGTATTGGAAATAGATACACTCACAATTCATATAAGCTTATACTTGCCCTTTAAAAAAAGGGCAGGAATGGATAGGTGGAGAATGGAGATAGAACGTGCCGAGACATGACAATCAAAAGGAAAACAACATTCAATAGCACTAAACGAGAGTGTAGACAAGATAGGTTACCTTTGAGAACAACATTTCCGATAGTTCGAGTTTCCTGCTTTCGAATAGCATCAGCTCCAGAGTCAGATTGGTCATGGCAGAACCCTGTGAATGGAGAGTCGAGTTTCATTGTAAAACCGAGAGAGAGTGATGGAACAATCACCCGTGAAATATATTCGAAGGTAAAAATTGAATACAACAGCACACTGTATACAACATCTTCAGAACTGAAGGACTAACGAACCTGATGTATCAACTTGAACATCAGATGCACCGGCAAGATTCCTGAATCTCATATCATAAAGCAATCAGAACACACTCATAGCATGATCAAACAAAAACGTTGAAAGTCCATAGAATCATACATATCATCAGAGCTCAGAAGCATATCTGCATCATTAAAATATTCAGCAAGCCAACCTTCACATGACTGATCTAGGCCATCATAACCAGAGGCTGACGCATCTTCTGCAGTATTTTCTTATGATTAAAAACCCTAGTATGCATTTCAATCAAGTTGATTTTTATTTAATCATATGGGCTTGCATGAGAAACCTGAAAATCCAGCAACCCACTCAGATGCATTGGGTAAGACCTCTTCAATGAAATCATCCCTTTCCTAAGAATGGAAAGAAGAAACAAAACATAGTAATAACCATGGTACATTTTAACCAATATTCATAAATTGTGACTGCATCTCTTGAGAAAGTAGCCAGACAGACAGTGGCGAATCCATAAATATTTTCCAGGTGGGCAGACATATGTTAACAATATAAAATTTTTAAATGGGACGGGTACAAATAAAATTTCAGGGTAGGCATCATCCGTAAAATAAGTAACTAATCGAAGAAAACTCATATTTCAGGGTGGGCACTATTAGTAAAATAAGTACCTAATCGAATAAAATTTGGATTTCAGGGTGGGAACATGCCCACCCTGAACAAGCCGTGGCTCCGCCACTGCAGACTGAGATCTATCATGAATATTTCTAAAAGGCCAACTGGCTAGGCAGAAGTCAAGAACTTGATTTAAATAACTAGTGAATTGTAGAAACAATAAAAATTTGAAAATATCTGCAACCTCTAGCCAGTAAATGGATGCACAAAACGATGTGGATCAACTAGGATAACTAATTTGTTTCTAGAACCATGATTCACATCTAGTACATCAATCTATGTCAGCTATTAGAAACAAAATTGAAAGATAAAAGTTTTGGAAAATGGCATGCTTCTTTCAGGTTCACAGGAATAGAAGAGTTATCTAGCACAGTAGCACTCACCCTTGATTTCAGGAAAGCAGAAGGCATCTCGTCACACACAAGGGAAGAATCTGCTGCATGAGTTTCGAACTGAAGCATTCTACGTCTTTTAAATTGAGAAGCAGTCTCCCCAATATCCTCTGATTCCTTACTCATATTGTCTGAAAGTCGCAATCTTATTAGTGATTACTTCTAGAGGAAATAGAAGATTAGGTGTTACGATGAGTCGATAACAATAAATATACAAAGAGTATCAAGTAACAAGGCTTACCTTTATGAGTAATTCGGTATGACAGATCCCCACATTCCTTAACAGGGGTTGTTTCATCAAACATGCAGGAAAGGTCTTCCTCGTTCAAGGTCACTTGAGTCCATGCACCTTGGGAAGCACCTGCTCAGATATCATTCAGACATCAATAATCCATTGCCTTGAATCTTTTTACTCGTTTCGCTACTTTGAATACATTAACTAGATTTCTAAGGTAGTAAATTACCAAGATCGTTGTTCTTTTGAACACCATAATTCTCGTCATGCCAATTCCAAGGCTCCCTGTCACTGATCAAACCATACAGAAAAATTAGTAAAACAATCAAGCCGAAGCTAAGAGCCAGTGCAGACTTCACAATGAATCATCCAATGCTTTACCAAAGTGGAATCCATGCTACATTTTACAAGCATTAAGTAAAATCTTAAATGGGGTTTCTCTGAGTTCAGGAAATTATCGAGATAAACATCAAACAGTAAAAATTTCCAACTCAGAAGGAAAAAAACAAAAAGAAAGGGAAAAAAGCAAAATTGAAGCATTGGATCCAATAATTATTTATGACCCAAACAAATTTTACATGTATAGTAACAAAAAGGACACATGTACAATTTAGATCTAACAAGAAAGGAAAAGGGATCATAATCCATATGTTTCTCAGCATTGATGTTTAAGCTAATCAAAAAGCAAAAGAACAAATAAAAAGACACAGTGACCCACCATTTCAGTAAGAGCCCACACCTTCACTCTTTCAATTTAGTAGCATTTTAGTTACAGTACAACATACAAATCCAATAAATACCAATTGCAGCATTCATCCCATTACAGGAAAGAACAAGAAAAACCCATTACAGAAAAAAAACTTCAAATTAAAAATCAAACAAGAACCCATTACAGAAAAAAAGCATTCATCCCAAAAAAGGCAAATAAATTGCCATAAAATTATAAAAACAAAAAAGAACAAGAAAAACCCAGAAACAATATTATGCATTTTAAAACCAAATGACATCAATGAGAAAAAAAGAACTTTACCGATCGTAGTTGCAATCCATTTTCTTCTGCTTCCCTTCAAAAACTGAATCAAATCACACCCTTTTTTACCCTTAATCTCAAGTATTCACTTCTTCAACAACACGCTCAAAGTAGCCGTTACACAGATCGACAATTCTTCTTTCTTCCTTTTTTTCACTATATATCGAAGCGAAGCAAATCACTCACACGCAAATACAGATGTAAAATATTAATATATATATATATACACACACACACACCCCAATATTTTACTTGTATCATGTAAAGCAGTGGAAGCAGCACTCACTGCTACTTCCCACTTTGGCTTTTACTTGAGATATGCGCTCTAATATCTATGGTCGAAACAAAATATAACGTTATATATTTTAAACCTTTTTTTGGTTTCACGTTATTACTATTAAGCAAAACAGAGAAGACTCTTATGAGAGGTTAAATTTTGTTAATATGTCATTAATTATGCTAAGATTTCTTACTTTATTTTTGCCTGTTTTTAGGGTTTTTTTTCCCGGGAGACTGATCACGCGACTGTTTATGGCGTGCGTGAGTCAACGATCGAGATAGGCAGAAAGAACAGTTTCGGGTAAAGTGTGAAATACCTGCTTTGGATTAGAAGAATTGAACGAGGCGCGCGTGGTGGTGGGCTTTTACAAAGATATTAAGTAGAAAATAGAAGATGTGGGGTCGTTGGTCGTGTTTTTTGAGTTGGGAAGAGTGAATTTGATAATGGGCTAAAAGAAAATGGGCCCCTTGATTTTGCCTTCATATTAATAAATTTATTTATTCGGCCGGATGAAATTTAATAAGAGAAAATAATCCCAGCGATCAAAAATGCCTTAAAATATATGATTTTAATTATTTTTTTTGGATTTGTCAAAATGACAAACTAAATCGCAATGCGATCGATAATTCGTAACGCGATCTCCGGTATCGCAAATCAGTTTCCAGATTCGCAACGCGAACTTCGACTATCTCATTGCGATTTTCCAAATTCGTTTGTTGTGATAGTCCAAAATCGCAACGACTGATGGTATTGCATTTGTTTCTTAAGAATTTTCGCTAAAAAGATAGTATTCGCGCGGACGTGTCGAATAAATATGTCATAATTATTGCAACGAATTTGGACTATCGCAACGAATTTGAAAAATCGCATTGCGATAGTCGATGTTCGCGTTGCGAATCTGGAAACTGATTTGTGATACCGGAAATCGCGTTGCGAATTATCCGCATTGCGATTTAGTTGATCATTTTGGTAAATCAAAAAAAAGTTGGTTAAATTCGTATATTATAAGGCATTTTTTGTCACTGAGGTTATTTTCTCATTTAATAATTCATGTCATGTTTGATCATTGTTGAGAAAAATTAATGTTATTTTTTTAGTAATTTGATATTGTTAAATGTAGAAAATTAATTAATAACTAAATTTATTTAAGACAGAATCCCTGTAGAGAAAAAATTTATGCTTGAAGAACAACATTATTTTCTTTATAAACTCATGCTATATTTAACTTTTAAATGTACGAGAGAGAATTATTTTAGAAGGATATAATGCTTCATGTTTTGATTTTAGGTTTGGGATGATTCCAACTAGGGGGAGAAGAGTGTATCGATTTCGGCCAAATTGAATAATAGTTCTTGAAATGATAAGTTTTCTTCATATTTATCAAATTAGACTATATTTAGTTATTTTACTCTTTTAAATTTATTGTAGATTTTTAGATTAGTTAACAGTTTCTCATTTATTTCGATATTTTTGTGTCGTCTTTTACTTTTTTTGTTATTTTTGTTTAACGAGAAACGACACCAATCTCGATGTTGGTTGCCACCGCAGGTGATTATTAATTCTCTTGTTTTTATATATTTTCTTTTCTTTTTTTCTTTAGTCTTTTTAATTTTAAATAAGAATCTTTGTCCTTTTGATACGTTTTTTTTCTCTACTCTTGTGACATACATTTTCTTTGTTTTTGTGGCACGATCCTTATAGTCATTGGTTCGTTTTTCGCATACATTTGTAGTCGTTTTGGTTTTCACACAAAAACTATCATGACATTTATTTTCTGATTGGTTTGTCGGTGGTTACGTTGAGTCAGATCCCCTCTTTTGGTAAAAGGTTGTTTGCCGATGTAATCAGAATTGTGTAGCGAATCAACCTGCCAGATTATTTGGTTCGTTCAGCGCTCCTGTTTTTATGACGGTTATTGAGTTTTGATGTTGGTCATATTATTAGTGGAATATATTTTTTTTCTTCGTATCTTTAGGTTTAATATTTTATTTTCGTATGAGTATTTTGGTGATTATTGCCTCCAAAGTTCTCTCTATATTTTAATGCATTGTAATTTTGATTCCTTCTTTTATTAATGAAATTCAGTTGTCATTGTAAAAAAAAGATTTTTAGATTAGTTTTCTTATATCAATGTGTTTGTAATTATTTAAAATAATCATATTTAAGTTTTAACAAAGTTAGTTAATCTAAGATAATTACAAGGTACTATCCGTTCAGAATTTTTTTAATATATCGATAATGTACATACACACTGCAAATGTAACTCTTTGAATCATCTAGAAAAAAATACATTTTCTTTTACCATTGAAACCACTTGATATCCTTTAGCCTCAAAATGTCTTCAGGAATTTTGTCGTAGAGAGACATTCTATCATTCACTTAATCTTAATGCCCACACACCTAAATTTCACATGAGTCTCTGAGATAAATGTATCTTACATCGTAATAACTCCACATGCTAGTTTAGGGTTAGCTTAGGGTGAGAGGAAGGTTTAATGTATCTCTGTGATAAATACTATGGGATGGTTTGAAATCAAATGGTTTCGTATCGCACTCTTGATTGAGGAGTGACAGTGTATTCTAGCATTCATTATGCCTCGTAAGATATTTCTTGCAAGAGTACTTATGTTTTGGGATCATCTTGTGACTTGTAAATTAATATATGATTCGTTTATTTGAACAGGTTGTTATGCCACTGGTTAATGAAACGAAATGACTCTGGTCAAAGTATGATTGGTTGAATTTATCATTTTATAACAGATTAATTTGAAGTATAGATCACTGATGAAAAGTCTAATTCGTCCGGAAAAAGATCACATTTAAGTGTTGCGGCGTGACAACCGAACTGAGAGGTTATGTCCGTGACATGATATAAATAATTATGTTTATAGTAAGATCGAGAAACCGTACGCTGGCTAAAACTGAAGGAAGAAAGGCGGTTATGCGTGGTGCAAAGTTCTTTGCGTGTGAGCTATATCAATGTCGCCCCGACAAGTATAGCAAGGGAATCAAAATGTTGCCAATCGAAAAAGCAAGAACCAAAAAGAAATTATGCAGATTACCCCAAGTTACCCTCGTTTTCTAATGCTTGGAATATGTATTTCAACGGTTTATGATTCAAGAATCCATTTAAAATCAGTTAAACTCCATTTCTGTTCATTTTCCAAGAATCACAATCCTAGCCTTAGCCTTCTTTAACCATGTCTTACATGCAGCCCCAACAAGGTACGTGTCTTTGATTCATGGCTATTCTTCTTCTTCTTCTTCATTCTTCCATATGTCTTTGTTAATCTGACTCCCTTTCGTTGAACTTGAAGTTGCTTGGTGAACTTGAATCATTGGGATTCCCACGAGCCAAAGCAGTTCGGGGACTTCATTATTCAGGTTAGCTTTTGACTCTGTATGGTTTATTCTTCTTCTGAGGGATATTTTGGACATTTTTGTATGTTTTTATATGATACTACTATTGAGGATGCTGTGAATTGGCTCATTGATCACGAGGATGATCCAGACATTGACCAGATGCCCCTGGTATGGCCTTTCCCTTACTTGATAGAGTTTTCTTCATGGTCATGGCGGCCAACCGGCTAAGGCTGTGCCAGCCCCTTCGGATCCGCCCCCTGATATAGGCCTAATGAAGGATGAAACTTTAGGTCCATGTATTGTTGATATATTTTGCTCGGAATGGCTTGAAAATGGTGAGATGTTGGTTTTGTATGCTTTGTCACAAGGTTTTGTTTCTCCTGTCACAGGTGGCAATAAACATGGATATTGAGTCCCCTCAGCCCGATGATATCACAGAAGCAATAAAAATCAAAGAACAAGAACTAGGGTTTGCCTTCCGCGCAGCAATCCCTTTGTGCTGAAAGCATTTAACCTTTGTTAAAACTCATGCTACCTTTTTTTTCCAATCTGTTCCTTTACATGCTCATTAAGCTGCTCACTCTTGGGGATCGAGTTCGGATAAAGAATCGGGAAGAAGAAAAAAAACTCGAGAGAGAAAGGGAGAAGGTATCGTGAAATCCTTCATTTTGTTGGTTTTGCCATTGCTTGCATCTTGGTATCTGAGACACTTTGTGCAGGAAAGGATTCGAGCAGGCAAAGCACTACAAGAAGCAAAGAGGATTGCCGAGGAAAATGAACGACAACGGTTTGTATATATACTCCTTATGACACCTCTACTTTCTTAGAGCAATGACACAATTAGCTGTTAACTTCCGGATGTACAATTTATCAGACTTATGGCCTTGCGAAAAGTCGAGAAGGATGGAGAGAAAAGGGAAAGGGAGAAAGTGCTTAAGAAATTAGAAGCGGATAAGGTCTGTTCCAGTTCTTACTATGTTGTTTGTGTATGTTATTTGAGTGTCATTATGCTATTGAAACTGATTGTGGTTGAAACAATTCTTGTAACTTCACAGTTAGAACGAAAGCGAGCACTCGGATTGCCACTTGAAAACCGAGCTGCGAAACCAACTCGACCTATTGCACGAGAAGAAGAAAAGGTTTATATATCTTTCAAATGGTATCTCTAAACACAAGGAAGACTAAGAAATCATATTGAGCTTGATCCTGTTAAAAATTGCAGAATTACTTGCCTGTTAAGTCTGTTAAAAAGGATGACCGTTTGAGAGAGTGCCTAAGATCTCTGAAGCTAGCTCACAAGGTAACCAGTTTCTTAATCGTAGCCTAATCGAACGAAAGAATAGACTGCCTAGATCATATGTGTTGTAATTTGCTCCATGAGTAACCATGTGCATTGAAATGTAACTCCATGAACCAGAGACACCAAATTTTCAGGCTTAAAGTGCATTTCCCTTTCATGTACTGGATCTAGTGCATGTTACTTTAAGCAACATGATCCGCTGCTTATTTTGAGTCCAGGATGAAAATGACAGAGTTAAAAGGGCAATCCAAACCCTGTTGATTTATGTCAGAAATGTCGCAAAAAGTCCCGATGAGGAAAAGTTCAGGAAGATACGACTTGGTAACCCAAAGTTCCAGGTAACATGCCTTAATCCAATCGAACCATATCGAGACCATGTCCATGCTTTTCTTATCTATTTCGTGACGACAAGCTTTACTTCGATTCAGGAAAGGGTTGGGAGCTTGAGAGGAGGGATCGAGTTTCTCGAGCTTTGCGGATTCGAGAAAAGTGAAGGGAACAAGTTCTTGGTTTTTCCACGTGATAAAGTTGATATACGGCTCCTTAACCATGCCGGTTCTTTGTTAAATTCTGCAATGACAAATCCCTACTTCGGTCTTCTTGAAAAGGTGAACCAAGATTAGAGTTGTAGTGAATATATCACGTACACACTGACAATTAGTTGAATGTGAACGCTTGGAGGGTGTCCACAGTTGAATAAAGATTAGAATGCTGTGCATCAAATAAGATTTGTAGGATAAATTAGATAGTTCATATGCAATTTTCATTGGCCTACAATGTGCCCTTTGAATGCTACCTTTTTGTCGTGCAAAGGGCACTTTTCCTTTTTCACATAAAACTTATTTTCTTTTAACACTTGGAAAATTTAACTTAAGTGATCTACGTGCTCCTTCAAAGTACATTATAACAAAGCAGTCCAAAAAAATTAAAACACTTCGTTCATAAGTGTGTTGCAAGGAGACCTTGATGACCCACTAAGAGACCTTGATGACCAAAGCTTTGGCGGAATCAAGGAGGGGGGTTTGAAAATAATAATTATGGCATTAATCTCCTAAAATCTTAAATTTCATACTCAAATCTCTAAATTCTTAAATTTCAAGACTCTAATCTCTAAATTTTAATTAAATTTATCTTTTTCAAGTTTCACCGATGTCGTATGTCATCACGTAGCCCGCCACACCTATATTATTCTCCCCTTTAATTCATGCCATGATCATTCTTAGTTGAACCTTGCTTTACCACCACTTAAAAAATATCACAATGTTTGTTAAGATATATTAGAGATTTAAGAATTTTAATATTAGGACGATGACGACATATAGACGACTGTTTAGTGATGATGGTTGGAATGACCATTAACATAAATAAGGGCTTAGAATTAAAGTTTTTAGGGGTTTGAGATTTTTAAAAGGAAATTAGAGAAATTTGAGGTTTTTAAATAAGATTTTAGTATTTTTAAATAATATTTTTTTAAAACTTATAATCATGGTATGTGTCACATTTTGAGAGGTTGATAAATTTTTTAACGGTCGTGACAAATCTAACTCTTAAAATTATAATGAAAAATGTAAATATCTATCTTAATCAAAAGACTTTAAGAATCTAAAATAAATCTAAAATAATTTAAACACTTATTTTTTTAGTTAAGTGATTAAAATTAAATTAGTTTTGAACAATAAATATAGACTAAGAACAATAAAAAAATGTTAGAGGAGAAGTACAAGATACCATATTAAGGATATTGGGATTAGTACCAGGTACAGAGGGAACATGAGATATGTTAGACTTAATATACTGTTAAGGAAAAGTGTTATTGGAAACATTATTATTTTTAATATTTCTGGTAAAGTGCTACTTAAAATATTATTTTTTCTACCGAAAATATTATTATTAGGCACTACCTAAAATATTTAACATTTCTGGTAAAGTATTACCTAAAATATTATTTTTTCTATTAGAAATGTTAATATTAGATTATACCAAAAATTAGTTAGCGAAAATAACATTTTCGGTAAAAAATAATATTTTACATAACATTTTACTAGAAATATTAAAAATATATAATATTTTCGATAAAACTTTTCCTTAATCGTATATTAAAATTACCATACAATAGAACTGTCGAGGTACAAACTAAATCTTCTGATGACTCTAAAGAAGAGAGCATGCAAGTTATGCAATCTAAAAGCTTTAAGTGAGCCACATAAAATGAATTATTATTTATTATAATATTTTAAAGGGTAAAATATATAAATAGTCACTGAACTTTTCAGATATTTATATTTAGGTCCCCTAACTTTTAAAACTTACAATACAATCACTAAACATTTAGTTTGTTTATAATATGGTCCCTGGCGTAACGACTGTTTCACTACCATTAGGGTAATTATATAAATGGTTAGTGAACTTTTCAGGTGCTTGCATTTAGGTCCTCCAACTTTTAAAACTTGTAACACAAACATTAATTACATTCTAAACCCTAAATTCCAAAATACTTAAATTACATTTTAAACCTCAAATTTCAAAATACTTCAATTACATGCCCAACCCCAAATTCATAATCCATTCTCAAAATATGTCATAACAAACTAAACTTGAAGTAGCAACCCTAAACCCTCAAAACATAACCCTAAATGCTAAATTTCTCCACCAATTAACCCAACACATTCAACAACATTTAGTTCATTTTGGGTCTATAACAATAAGTGATTATGTTGGGTTTAGGATTTAAAAGTTAGATTTAACCAATTATAAGTGAACAATACTCAATTCAATTCGAAAAAATTATTTTCGACTTGAATTGATTCAAAAAAATTGATAACAAAATGACTTTGAGTTGTAATTTCATAAACTCAACTTAAAAAAATTTCAAGTTAAAATCGAGTTGTAAAAGACAACTCGAATATCTCAAAATTTTGAGTAATTAATGGATTAATTTTTAAGTTTGAGTCAAGTCCCTTGACTCTATATGATATATGTATATCACATATGGAAAAATATGAAGAAATATATGTATTGTATATGGTTAAAAACTATTTAAATTAGAACCAAATAATATTATAGTATTATAAATATTTATAATTAAATTTAAACTCGAATATTCAATTCAATTCGACTTGATTTAAATTTTATAAACTCAAATCGAAAAAATTTCGAGTAAACTATTTTATAAACTGAACTTAATTAGAATCAAATAATATTATAATATGATAAATATTTATAATTAAAAAATAAACTCGAAAATTCAATTCAATTCAACTTGATTTGAATTTTATAAACTCAAATCGAAAAAATTTTGAGTCAACTATTTTATAAAATGAAATGAGTATTTAGGTCGAACATAACCCTAAACCCAACATAATCACTTATTATTCACTTATATTTGGTTAATTTTTTTCCCGAAACGGTTATGTTTTGAGGATTTAGGGTCGCTGCTTCAAGTTCAGTTTGTTATGATAGATTTTGATAATGTATTATGAATTTGGGGTTGGGTATGTAATTGAAGTATTTTGGAATTTGAGGTTTAGAATGTAATTAAAGTATTTTGGACTTTGGGGTTTATAATGTAATTGATGACTGTGTTGCAAATTTTAAAAGTTGGGGGACCTAAATGCAAATGCCTGAAAAGTTCAGTGACCATTTATATAATTTACCCTAACGGCAGTGGAACGGCCTTTCCGTCGGGGACCATATTACAAACGAACTAAATGTTTGGTGATTGTATGGCAAGTTTTAAAAGCTGAGGGACTTAAATGTAAGCATCTGAAAAGTTCAGTGACCATTTATATGTTTTACCCTATTTTAAAACACAAAAACAATAGCGTCAGTAAAATACGATGTGATTAAAGGAGTCGTGTAAAAGGTAAAACTGAAGTAAAATTCATTAAACGGGCAAGTCCACTATTTCAAATTCAAAACGTTTTTCGAACCCCCTTCTGTTCTTTACGCCGCCATTGTGCAATCTATAAAAGACTACACGAGCGCGGAGTTTAGCTTTCATGCTTCATTCTCAAGTTTAGTTTCAAACGTTTCAATGGAGTATAAGGTCGTAACGCATCAATCTCACCCTCTGCAATTCACACCCCACCACCGTCAACTACCTCCGTCTTCCATCTACATTGTCTTAACCGTTAGCGTCAGCTACATCTCCGCCGCCTCCGCCGACCCTTTCTTCTCGCAACGAACCCTCTGTTTCCGTCTGAACCTTCTGCAAAGCCCCCGCCGCCTTAATCAGGTTCTTGCTCCGGAGCTCGCAGAGCTCAGGGTCGACACTTCCTCCGCTGAGTACGACGGTGTCCTCCAAGATATTATCCAATGCGGGCTTCTAACAGTGCGTGGAATGTTGGACCAGGGATATTACTGCCAAGCCTTGCAATTACATTCCGATATGCTTGTGGCAATGGAACCCATGACCGACCAGGAGACCTTGATGACCAGAGCTTTGGCGGAATCGAGGATGGAATTCGAAAACAGTAACTATGGGATGGTAGGAGCGTCGGAGTCATCTGTTAAAAAGATGGTAAAAAAGGTCAAAGTAGAAGATGGAGAGGGAGGAGATTGCATGGTTTGCTTAGAGGAACTCAGATTTGGTTTCGAAGCATCCCGGATGCCATGTTCTCATCTCTTTCATGGCGGCTGCATCGAAAGATGGTTGAAGCAGAGTCATTACTGCCCTATTTGTCGGTTTGAGATGCCCACCAATTAGATGGGTTACAATTCTCCGTGTTTCTGTTTTGTTCATCTGTAAAACTCGTACTTGCTCGTAAGTTGTTCATTATTTTACCCAGGAAAAAGTTAGTAATATGATTAGACAGTAAGACATTCATTGAATCATTGCCGGTGACGTTTAAGATGAAACTTACGATCCAAGAAAAAAAATATTTAAATATCTATCGATGATAATATTTTTTTATTAAATTCGAGCAAATACAAATAATATTTATTTAAAAATAACTCTCAATTATTGATGTTAAACATTTATCTCTAATATTTTTAATACTTAAATTCGAAATCTCACTGAATAAAAAAATATAATGTACTGATCGTACACTTATATGAATATAAGATATTTAAGTAATAATTATAATATATTATTCGATTAAACGTATCGATTTGAGTAAAGTTTTAATGGATTAAGTGAATATTTCACTTGACTTAAAAAATATCATATTATTTATCCTTCTGACAAAACCACATGAAACTAAAATATTGTTGCTATAGTTGGATGCAACTAAATCATCTCTATTTGGTTTTGACTGTGTGTTAATGGCTTGTGAAGATCGTGAAGTCGATGCTCGAGATCTTCGTTTGAAGCTGCAAAGGAAAAGTCTCCAAAATGTGTCTCAAACTGGAAGGGGGGCTCTCTCAGGCGTACGTAATCTTCGTGAAAAATTATCTGGAACAATGAACACTCGACCAACGAATGCTGATCCTCCTGCACAAAAAGTAAAAGTTGCCCAACAAGCCAGGAAAAGTGTAGCAGTTGAAACTCCTGAACCAGAGCCCAAAAGGGCTCCAAATACTACAGCAAGAAAGAAGGCTAAGAAAAATGTATTTAGCTTCTGCAGTTTTTTCTTATTAGCACATTCCCATATGTTTTGTAGTATTTTATGTTTATTGGACAAGCATGATACGCTAGAGCTCTGTTTTTACTGTTATATCTTACAGAGGTGTATGTATGTGGGGGGTGGGTAAGGGGTTCAAGAACTTGCAATCTAATGGTATGCATATCCCGTGGACTTGATTTCAATGCATGAGGAATCGAACAGAGAGGACTTGCCACATGAGGGCATGCATCTCGCCAGGTCTTGTTTACATTGGCTTGGAATGCACAATGGTTTACATTGGTTGGTAGCTCCCAAGTCTAATTAGTGGGACAACAAACCAGGTTATTTCTTATGAAGCTTTAAGGTGTATTTGCCAAGTCGGGGATTGTGTGAAAGATGAAAATAAAAAGGTCAATTAAAGGCTTTCCGGTTTTTTCTTAAATGGAATGTTAAATGTCTCCATGTTTGCATTTACATATTTCTATTTTGTTGTTTCTGACATAAGAGGCATTCCTCCATGTTTTTAAGTTATGATGAGGCTGGACAATATGCATTATTGTGTAGTTATATATATTTTTTTTGTATCCAAGTCTTGTGGTTTCTTATGCAGGCTGATGCTTCAGTGGAGGGCTTCCTCCAGTCTTTGGGTCTTGAAAAATGCAATAAGTTTTCAAGCTGAGGAAGTATGTAGTTTACCATCCCCTTTTCTTTACATCATTGTATTAAATTAAACAAATTTCTGCATCTGTTGTTAACATTTTTCTACAGGTTGATATGACTGCACTTGTGCACATGACTGATGAGGATCTAAAAGCTTTAGGCATACCAATGGTAACTTTAAATCATTTTTGTCCAATTTCTTAAATTTGAGCTGCTCCAAATGTTCTCTCTTTTTACATGACCTAGAAAACCCCCTTCATCTTCCTTGCTTTTCTTCTATGCATATGACCATTTGGAGGTATTATTGTAATTAACAGTTAGATGCAAGTTAATGCTGGCCTCTTGAAAAGAAATTGATATTTTTTAATGTACCGATAATTGGTTCCGAAGGGAGTTGTAGAAAATTCTTGTATATCACTTTAATTCCATCTTTAGTATTATATAATGTCTTTAAAGAACTTCCTTCGCCCATCAACCCTTCACTTTATCATTCTGTCTTTTTTGTGTAATATGCATGTATTGAAAGCATTCTGTCATCACTGTATTTGACTTGTTTTTCTCTTTCCTACAATTTGTCTCAGTAATCTTTATGTTTGTACCTCTAGGGCCCAAGAAAGAAGAAGCTGATATTTGGAGATCTAGCAATGAGTGGTTGTTGCTTGTTGAATTGGAAGATGCGTTAATTGCCAATCCTAGAAGATTGCAAGGCTGTATTTCGGCGTATAAGAACCTCTGCATATGTAGCGATTCTTATTGGTATTTCATGTTCAGTTTTAGCCCATTAGTGATTATAAACTTTGAACTAACTTATGTGCTGCATTGTCTTGATTTATATTTCTGGAAGCTTTCAGGAAACAGTAATCAGCATATCTCTAAAACTTGGACACATGAAAATACTCTCAAATTCAACAGATTTAATTAAATTTTCTACAGATAAGCCTGCATAGAGTGTTTCAAAAATTGTTTTCATATCTTGTATTGTTGCTTGAATGTCTCCCATGCCTTATAGTATCTTCCCTATTGCTGTAGATGCAATTGCTTGATGTCAGTCTTCCATCCAGGGTAAATACTTAAGATGCTGCGTTTTCTATAGCCTTCCAAGCTAGGTACTTTGCCTTTTCTTGCTTATATCTTCTCAATTCTCTCAGAGCTGCAAGCATAACGTGCATCGAAACCGGTAAAAAGAAGGGCTGCAATAGCCAATAGTGAAGAAAGACATGGTTTTGTAAGAAAATATCAATTTCCTTACAATTATTATCAAGAGAGGCATGAAAGTTTCATTTAACTAACCGAGTAGACAGCAAAGCAGTGCTCGAAGGAATAGTAGCTAATAGACAATCGATGGGTTGGAAAAGGCATCCTCTGCCAGAGACCTTACTTACCAGAGGAGGCTGATCAAAAAGGCATAAACCGTTTGTTAGATAGCCTAACCGATAAGAGATATGGACAGCAGATAATTAAGACACAATCTGCAGGTAAGTTTAGGAAAATACCAGCTGTATATTCATACGCTCCACTAGAAGCATTACTTAATGGCAGCTTTGCTGCCTCAAGAGAAAACTTTACCTAGTCAAAGACACCGCCATAAATAGTTTGATTGTTATTTTCGGAGTTACAAATACAACTACTCTGATAAACAAACTTAGTATCTTACCTGTTTTCCGATCTCATCCATGTTAATCATCCTTGGCAGTGATTGAACCTGCATTAAAATTCGTCATCAGTAGCAAAAAGTCTTATGGAATCAGATAATTCTTTTCTAATACCTACGAACACATACCAATCTTGAAAAAGATCCAAGTGTCGTAGCACATGAATGAAGATTAAAACATATTTGCTGCCATGACAAGATGTCCAATTCCCTGGACAAGAACTGAAAGTAAGAAAAACTCAAACATACAATGAACAACTGATCAAGTTAGATAAGACTATGTTTATTCTTTTAAGAAATATTGGATGGAATTTAAGGCCTAAGCAACCACAAAGAACAAGCATGTCGATCAAACCACTACAAAATTGAGTTCAGTTTGGTCTAATCCGTTATTTGTTTGGAACTACAAACACTAGGCATAGCTTGTTAGTTGCATAGGATTTTATATTTACCACTCGGTAAAACCTCTTTCACTAGACAGAAGATCCCAATCGCCTGATGCACCAGCATAAACATTGACAGATTTGAAACCAAAAAGTTACCGGAACTGTCCAATGAATACTTCAAACATGCTCTCAAGATCCTGTTTAAGAATGTTAATGCATCAAAGTAGAGAAAACTAAACTTAAGCCACCTGCAATAAAATAACGTGTGCTTCTACTCATTCAATTACACACTTCTTTTCCATGGTCCATCGTCTAACCTGTATTGGAATTATGTTCTTGACACTGGGCTCGAACTCTGAATCCTTTAAACAGCCTTGGGGATTCCAAACAATAAAACCTCCCTACATCTAAAATGAGAAGTAATAAGGTAATGCAGTCCCCCAGAATAATTAGCAGTGAAAGGAAAGAATGTAACAAAGCCTTGATAACTAACTGGAGATATAAAGCCATTTGTCTTAGAAATCTCTCCATTTGGCAGCTGGAGAAGAAGAGGGAATTCTTTTGCAGATGGTACATATCTGGCGACAAAGAGGAAAATGAACAGTTTGAGAAAATGAAACAGACATGCAAGCAAATCACAAATATGAGAACGAACAAAAGAGGTTATTAGAAAAGGCATATCAAAGCTGGCTGACACTCCTGAATCAACATTTTCTCCCAAAATGGACATCAAACCAAAAATACATTGACAACACCCTTAGTCCCTTACAATTCAATACATGCAACCGCTACAGTTAGGAAATAAAAGAAGAATTGAGAAAAAGAATATACACTGCAAATTGCAATATCTTTGATCGCCCACCAGCTGCAATTGAAGTATCCAGGTGCCATTCATTAGAATTTACCTGTTAAAATCATGAGAACTTTAGTTACTTGCAATATCTAAGATTTCCTGTGGCCAAAAAGCAATAATTGCATAAACATACAGTGCAGCATTCTTTTATCGATAATATACAGAAACAGAAGAAGAAAGAACTTAAAAGATGCATACAAAGAAGGGAAGATCTTTGGTGCTAAAGACATAGTTCTCCAACTTTTGACTCCAATAAGAGAATGAGGCCTTTGGTGTATGGTACAAAACCTACATATGAGACCAATGAAACCACCATCAGAAGAAATCCGGAATACAAGATACGAATGAAATTAAGAAGGAAGATGACCCTTGCCCTGACTCTCTACACTGATGTTTGCCACGCCCCAAAGCCTCAATCATAGGGGCCAACAAGGTATCATCTATCTTCTCAAAATCCCTGCAGAACAGTAAAAGGAAATATCAGATGAGCAAAAAGCAGCAGCACTATAACATTCAAACTAAAACAAGTTTGGTTTAGAATAATTCTATCAAACGGTTCTTTAACTAAAGATGTTGAACATAAACAAACATAATAGAAACAAAATCAAC